CTCTGTGTGTATCTATATGTGTGTGTGTGTGTGTGTGTGTGTGTGTGTGTGTGTTACCCTTTGTGCTCCACTGTTTTGATGTTGAAGCCCAGTGTTGGGGAGATGGTGCTCACATCTTCTCCATTGAACTTCTTCAGGATGGTGGTCTTCCCCGCGTTGTCCAGTCCTCTGCCCCGCCAGGTTAAAGAAGAGACTCTCCTGTTTGACAACGAACCTACTTCACTAACAATGACAAAGAGCTACCGAGCTAGGTAGCATGACACAGCACAAAATGCGTCACAAACATGCAACAGTTACCCTAAACCTTTGTAACCACGCGCAGAGATACGCCAGCTGTCACGTTACTGACGCACATAAAGGGATCATAACGTTTCTACATCGATGCTACTTTAACTTCCAGCTAAGCTTAGCTGGTAAACACACAGGATACAGCATCAGCAGTCTCATCTCCCGCTCCTTCTGCTTCATCTTCTTCAAAATTGTTAGCAAACCCATCGCCGGTGGTGTCCCGTTCAACCGCAGTTGTAATAAAAAGGCTGCTTTTACTGGTTTATAGTTTTATATGAGAGATATTTAACATCCATGAGCAGCATTGCGAACCAGGAACAGGCTGGAACACTAACCCCGCCCCCCGCAGCCACTGATTGGACTGTTGGTGAGAAAAGGGCGGGTGTTGATTGGTTGTTGGAGACGTTCGGAGCCGGTTGATTGGTCGGTGAGGTTTTTTTAAGGTGTGGCCGTGACGTAGAGGCGCGTCTGTGCGGAGTCTGTGCGGGGTTGGCGCCCCCGTGCGTGGCCATTATATATTTCATAAATATTCCAAAAATACTCATTTATTTGGGGGATACAATAATAGAGTTAATAGCCCCAACAGTGAAAACATCCTGCTGTCCAAAACTTTACCAAATTGCATTAATTCCTTTCCTCTTAGGCTTGAATAATATCGTATCATTTGTATTACTCACAGTGTCACAGAATAGCGTTTAAACTATATAGAAATTAATCGAATACATTAGCAGTAGGCCTACATACATAATTTAACATAAGGGGGAAAAAATAATTACATAAATGTACCTTCATCAGTTTATTGGGGTGCTTTCAAATAAAACACATGTATTCTTTTTGATAATTGGCAATTAATTAAAGCAATTCTTAAAACAATACATTTTAAGAATCTTTAAGAAGCGAGTTCTTCATATCCTCTGAGCTGTGAGATGTATAAGCACTGATATTAGATATCTGATATCTGATATAATATCCCTACTACCATCATTTTGTTTTAAATGAGCCCAACAGTCAAATGAATGAATTCCTTCTCATATGAGGTAAATTAATATAAAAAACAAGCCTGGATACTGTAAAACCTTTAGGCTATGTATGTGCCTACTTTAGAAGAGATTCAGCTGTACAAATAGTCAAAGAATATCATTTGTTGAGAACCGGTAAAAGCTGCTGGCTGCAGTCTGGGGGCTTGGTCATTCATTTCCTGGCAGAGACAA